GTCAACAATTCCATTACACACCTTTTCAGCTAGAATAAAATGACTTTGATTTCTACATTTGAATGAACCTTCCGGTTGAAAATTTCCTGCAAACATTGCAGTGTGTGTAAGAGTGTGTGTGTATTTTTTTTTCATTTGTTAAAACTACCGCAAAAGCTTTCATCATCGCCAAGCAAACAATGATTAATGCCATCGCAAAATTGTTCAATAGATATACAATAGTTATTCATATAACAAAGATATTCGCCAACTTTGCATTTAGTCTCTTTGCAATCTTTCAACTCCTCATATGGAAAATGAGGTCTAGTTCTCAAGTTTCCCATTGAATCGTAGACTATCCTACACCTTGTTTCCGAAATCTCTTTCTTTTCAGTTGAACACATTCCTTTACTGTACGTAATAAACTGCTCCCTGCAAGCCTTACTTTCATCTATTCCATTTCTGCAGTCTTTCTTGAAATTACACTTAAAACTACTTGGAAAAATTTTGTCAAAACACAATATTATAGAATTATCTGCTGGACAATACAATTCAATAATTTTGTTAGGTTCTTTTATAATTGTTCCATTTTTTCCATACCAATAGGATAATTTTTAGATTTAATATATTTATAATTTTCATCACTTTTATCAAAGCAATTTCTTTCACTATCACCAAATACATTTTGTTTCACACATTGTCCATTTGAACAGTATCTGCCATTGGTTGATTAATATGTTCAGCAATAAGAAACAAAAACAACTATTGAATAAAACTGAACCTATGGTTGTCATCTGAACAACTTCTTCTTGCTAAGGAAAAACAAAAACATTCATTTTAATAAGAGAAAAAATAATTTTTTCTACTGCAAAATATTTCATCAGATCCATCTGGACAATTGATTATAAAATCACAAACAACTGCAATACTGACAACTACATTTGAACTATGGCAGTGGAAGAATGTTGTTGAATTCTTGTTGCATTCTTCATCCTCACCCAATGGACAATCAATTACATTATCACAAATATATGCGTAAGAGATACAAATTTTTGCAGTTGGACAAAGGAATGTTGCTGTTGGACATTGGAATTTGTGTGTAACTTTTAAATTGAATTCTAGCTGAATATCAGATTTTTTAATGTCTGAGTTAAAAAGAAAAAAGAATGGAAAATTTTTTGTGTGGATTTTTTTAGAATGAAAAACAAAAGAAGCTCAACTAGATTTTCCGTGACAAATGAATCGTTTTGAAAAAATTTCATCACACATTGTAGATTTCAATTGTATCAAGCCATAATAGACGACTACTGATAGTTTTATTTCAAAGCATTGTTGAAAAGATTTTTCTAGTATCATATCTCCAATAATGATAGAATTATCAATTATCTCTGATTTTGATAAGCAAGTCTAACATAGGATAATAAATTAGTCTTTCAATTGAATATCTGTGTCTACATGCATACACTCTCTAAAAATAAATCATTTGTTGATTTATAGACAACTGGTAAGATTGTAGAAGTGACACTAATTGGTTTATCATTCCTCATTAATTTCTTATACACTCCTAAAAGGAAGAATAAAAACATTTATTATAGATGTCTCTCGCATTGGGGAGAGGTAAAGGGGAAAAGAATGAAAGAATGAATGAATAAATGAACATCACTATTGGGATAGAAGTATACGTCATTAGAGAATTGTTTCCTTTGTATTTTTTGTATTATATTCAAATATATTACTGTAAAAGGCAACTTAAATGTTGGAATATCAGTTAAAGTTAAATTTTTCTCTTGGCATTCCAATTCAATTTCATTCAGTGTTAGAAATTTGATATCTTGAAATATATAATAGCAAATATTGTATATCGTATAAGCATTCTCTCTTTGGCAAGAATGTTCTAGATTTTGGAATATGATGACGTCATCATATAAAATAAGATTGAAATAAATACTTGAATTTTTTGAACATTCCATAAAGACATCCACAATGTATTCAGTTACATCTCTGTAATTTAGAAAAAAGTTTAGTATTCATTTATGAAATTCAATATAAACAAAACAAACATACATTGACATTTTCCCTCCGTAATGGCAATTATTCAAATTTGAATTGTTCTTACATTGTATTGTTGTATGGCGTACTGATGACGTAATCAATTCCATATACTGTTTTTTATGATGCGCACTTTGTACTACAGTTCCATAGGAAAAGCCAAAATTTTTACAGATGATTTGAATTTCTTTGTATTTGATATTATAAAAATGCATTGAAGAATTTGAATTTGAAATAAAGAACATTCCATTAAAGGAATTATAACTGTGAGTTTGACCAGCAAACAGGAAATCAATATTACCAGCCAATATGTATCTGTAGGCTGTATTTAAATGTGAATTAGTTGATAGTGATATTGAATGAAAGTGATGTTCTACCTTCAGTTGTTTTCACACAAACTGGATTTAATTGGCAGACGGAAGTGAAGTGAAAGAATCTTGGAAAACATCCTCGAATTGTGCCATTCACGTAAAAGCAATTGCCGAGGGCAATACCCTAATTAGGTCAAGAAAATAGAATAAGAAATGCTTGAAATGTACATAGGTAATATTATTGCCAACCTTTATATAAGTTGAGTAACTATTATTGACTAGGGAAGAGTAGTCTTTGTTGTATTTTTTACAAATAAAATCATAAGCAATGTCTGCAAGTTTTTTACCCACATACTGATAATATGTGGGAAGTATTCCATATGTTTTTGACACAAATACGTATTTTGAATGTAAATAATTGATATATTTCCTTTTCAATGCCATTTCATAGAATAAATTCGAATTTGTTAATTTCACCTCCAAATCTAAAAGATTGGATACAATTTTTTTTTTCATTATGCATTCATCAATGAGAAATACTTTCACAGACCTTCAAGATCTAAATATGTACAATTGTAATATTGAAAAGAGCTATTCAATACTTTGACTTGTTTGAATTGAACAGTTGAAAAATTTGAATTTAGAATTGCAATAACACTTTTACACACATTAAAATATTTTTGTTGCAAATGTATAAATTCCACTTTGCCACACAATGAAATTGCACTTTTATCCAATTGGATCAGTCTGTAATTTTCATTATTTCTTCTCAAATATAAATGATAGACATCTGTTGAACTTTTTTCAATTGCTCTTGCAAATATATCTTAATAAATAAATATTGATTTTCTTTTATTAATAATTGTTTTTTAAATTTAAAAATGAATTTAAAAAAAAAAGTACCAACACGAAACGTTGCGTTTGTAACATTTTAACAGAGTAGCAAACGAAAAGGTTCTGTTTGTAATTTGGCTGATTGATTGATGCATTTATTAGATAACAAAAAAAAGATAATGCAATTCTTCATACAAGTTGCAAGATTCAAAAGATGGAGAATTGAATTTTGCGTGGGAAGTTGTCTCTTTATCGATCATATTGTAAGGATAGATTAAAGAATGAATTGAATCGTATCCAATACATTTGCATAAATCATATTTCACTTCCGGTAGGTTGTTATCATATTTAAGCCAAACATTATCAACTTTGACGAGACCTTCAACAAAGATCTCTGTTTCTTTTCTCACTTCTAAAACTATAAGATTTTGTGAGAATTGAAAAAGTGACCAACTAAACAAGCATTTACAAATGAATTTCATGACTACTACTGCTATTACTTCTACTTCTAGGATAGAAATGTGGCATGCGTAGAAGAGTTTAATTGAAAAACAAAAATCTAATAGAGAAAATTACTGGAGACAATTAAATAAGTACTAAATCTCATTTGTAAAAGTAAAACAACACATCATTTGAAATTTTGCTGATGAAATATGAAAGTTGATTTATCGTCCATAGAAACTACTTTATTAAAAACATATCATGGATACTTTACAATAATCTTAATTAATTAGTAAAATATTCTCTTAGCCGTTGTCTGCTTCAATTATAAAATAAATATATCCTGCAATATTTTTACCAGTTTTCTCACAATTAGACTGTATTATGGTAGAAGAATCATTAATAGGCTAAACAACAGCTGATTGTCTTATTGAAGATTTTAAGCTAAAACAGTAATACAATTCTATGCACAGATATCAACAAGAAAAAGAAAGGAGATAATTTTAGAAAGAATTCACATTCTAACAATTCTACTTCTCTTATAAGTGGCTTATTCATAATTCGGTTCTATTTGGACCAGTACTTACTCACAACCCCATAATAGAAAAGCATTGTGATTAAGAATTGAATTTCAAAATTCTTGAAAGGCTTCCGCAACAAATTCAATAGAAACTTAAAAGAAAAATCCTCATTTTATTAATCAGTTTCAGAAAGGTGATATTTGTGATTGTAAGCTTTTGGAGAAATGTTCAGCAGTTTAGGACGTAAAGGCTAAGCAAATATAAAAATATTAAATTTTACATTTACACTTTCAAATCATTTAAACAGGAAGTAAGGGACTACTTTCTTTGTCACGAAATACAGCTGGTAATGCAGAGTTTGATATCTACCAGTTTTCCCAAAAGCAGAGCTTTAGTTTGCTAACTATTATAACTACAAAAAAAAAGTTTCTCATTTTACAGTAAATATATTATTTATGCCACTTGGTCCAGAAATTGGAAAGAATATATTTCAAAATATCAAAGATCATTGCTCAAATTTGAAGAAACTTATTTTATCAAACTGTGAAAAATCGTCTGCAACTGGAACAGAAAACGGCCCCAACTGAGACAGAAAATGGCCACAGGATTCTTCAACCTAAAATATATAAAACAAGAAATGAATTAAATTTTGAAAGTGTGTTTATTTGAAGAGTTGAATATATTATGAGACTGCAACTTAAAAGAACATGCAATTTAACAACAATTGATTTATTTATTGAGCTTCCAAATAAAGTTCAGAACACTTTTCTAGAACTTTTGATGAAGTAATCTCATGCTTTTCAAATCTTTCTTAAATTGAAAATATTTTATTTTGCAGGTTCTTATAAAGCTTTCTTTGGTATCTTTATATCTTCTTTTCCGATAACATTCTTTGATATGCTGGTAAACAATCTGCTTCCCTTTTCAATTCATTTATCACAGAATAAAATGAAACATTTACTCCAACATTACCATTCAACCTATTGTGAAATCCCTCAACATCATTATTTGTTCTGATTGCACATTGATAGATAGACCATCTTTTTGGTAAGCAAACATCATTCATAATCCAAGTTTTTTCAAAATAATCAATGAAATCAGCAAGTTTATCAATTGATTTAAGGTAATCCTTAATTTTGATAAACTTTATTGGAATAATGTGACATGGAAGGAATGGCAAAGCCATTAGCTTTCTCATTTCAAACAATTGTCCATTTTTTTTGTTGAAGTCTGAAGAATAACCAAGCTTCTAAAAAATACAAAATTAAAAATGATTCTAGTTTGTTCTTTAGGTTGAATAATACCTGAATTTTTCTATAAACTGCTTGATTCCAATGGAATAAGCATCCTGACAGATTTACATTTTCCCAATTATGTAATACAGCTTTCCAAACAGCTTTTTCAAAATCTATAACTATCTTTTTTGGTTCTTTATATTGTAGCAGTTGATTAATGCACTGAAAAACAGTGAAATGAATATTAAGTGCATTTGAGAGAAAATTTCAAGTTGAACTACCTTGAATAACAGATTATATGTTTTTTTCTTTTTTGATGACATGAATGCATATAGAAGAGGAACCTGTTTTAATTCACCTTGTTTTCTGAGGAATGAGTGAAATGAAAACAACTGTGTAAATGGGTCCTCAACAATCTTGAAAGTTCCATCTAAGTATCAGACTTTTGACACTGTAGATAAACTAAGTTGTTTTCAAGTGGAAAAAATAATCACTCTTTTATTATTTTCAACGACATCTTTCTTTAAGAAATCATCAGGAATGAAGCAATTATTAATAAGAAAATTTATTCCAATAGGTTTGTTGGGTCAATTTTTTCTTCCATGGTAATTTATCATTTCTTTGAGATTTTCAACTTTTACAATATTTCCCATATTTGCAAAAGGAAGCAGACATTTTCAGCTATTTGTTTTCCACTAACATTGGTGTCTGTTTTTCCTTTTTGTTTTGCTGACACTTTCAATTCAATAATTTGTTCTAAATTTTTTTTGGGGGGTGAATATGATATTTAGACCCCAAAGAGAAATTATTATTTCTTTGAATGACACTGGCAGGACATTTCATTTTCTTGCTTCTAACTCCACATCTCCAAATTATGAAAGTCTTGTCTTTTCTTTTGACAACAAATGAGTGACCATTAGATATAAATAATTCTTGCCTTTTTGACTTCCTGTAGGGAATATTCTGAATTTACCTTTGGTGTCATAGTTCATCTCTTGTATACTTTCAAAGGAATCCTCTATATTTATATCATTCTCATTAAAATGTAATGTATTTCCATCCAGAGGGCTGCTTTCACTAAGATTATCAACAAGCCTGGACTCTGCATCACAATTCAGTGTTTCAATAAGAGTAACCACTTCTTTGTGATCAACATCCATTATTATATTTTGCACATCTGTCTCTTCTCTTGTATGATTTAGATCTTTTTTTTCAGAATTTAAGACTTTATTGGTAGCTTTATCTTGTAAAATTTCATCACATTTGTTCAGAATAATTCTGATTTTCTTTTTTTCAACACTTGAACATGTAGAACATAATCCATCTACAAAATAAAGAGCTTAGTTTACATTAAAATCAATTTGGAGCTTACCTGATAAACAAGACCAATGGACTTTATGATGACAAAGTGAACAAACACTTTGCTTCAGCTTATTAATCTTTTTCTTACATCCAAAACAATGTAGTAGCATTGTGGCAAAAATCTCCTTTGAGCTGCTTTAACCTATTGGCAGGAATTTAAAAATAGTCTGAAATATTCAACCTCTTAGGAAAAACTGGTGGACAATTTAATATTTTTT